AATGAACAAAAGCTCTATCAGAGAAATTAAATCAAATTCTCTCTTAGCCAGTAGGATTACTGGTGATTTAATTTTCTTTTTCCACTATTCTATATTTTCTAAGGGTTCTACATTTTTAAATACATTTTTCTATTATTAACATAATTAATATTATACATAATACAACAAAAATGTATTAAAAATGTGGACGAATCTAACAAATCATGAAAATGGGAATACGTCATTTTTTATGCAGCTTTGAAATCTGTGAAAGGCAAGGTGAAGGTGGTACTAATTTGGCTGGGGAGGCTGAGATCTCGAGAAATCCGTAAGAACAGAAATGCAGCCTGCTCCTCAGGCCAAAGCTCCCGGACCAGCAGACAGGCCCCCTTCTCAAAAAGACAGGGGTGTGTTTCAGTCGGCTATCACTGCAGTGCCCTCGGGGTGAAGGCTGGCGCTCCCGCCTCCAGAGCCAGACAATCAAGGGGCTTCCCCTGGGCTGTCGCTGCAAAAAACTGGGGCATTAGACTGTATAAAAGCTCCCCTCGGAAGATCCTGAGGCTGTGGAGCGTGGCAGAGGGAGAGCCCGAACATGGCACCCACCAAGGAAAGAAGAAAGGTCTAGAGAAAAAAAAAAAAAAAAAAAATCTTGGAAAGTGGTGCCCGCGAGCAGCTCTAAGAGTATCCCCAAAAGGCCCCTGCCACTTCCAGGGATGCTTTAAAATTAGCAGATGAGGGATGCCTCATCCCATGAGGGTGGCTCGGCGGTGGGTTTGAACCCCATGACAGGTTCTGCTCTCAGCACACTCTGCTTGATATTCTCTCTCACCCTCCCTTCTGCCTCCTCCACCCTTGCTCGCAGGTGCGCAGAGGCACGTGCACGCGCTTTCTTGCTCGCTCTCTCAAATAAATAAATAAATCTTTAAAAAATAAAGTACATAAAATTCGCAGATGAATCTCTTTCACCTAAATTCTGGGTCCTTTTTAAAAGCTGCTTCTGCTCTGGGCCCTGGGGCCTCTGAGTCTGCGGGAGCCCATTTAAAGACCAAAGAATTATCTGGCCCTAAACGTTCCTCAGTTCCCTTCTGGTCTCATGGCCTTGAGCCCTCCTGTTAAGTTTTCAAAGCCAGATGTTTTGCGGGTTCCTTTCTCAGGTGCAGGTCTTAAAAGTTGGGGGTGCCTCTGGTGAGGTCCAAACTCTACACTCCTCAGGGAGAAACTTCCAGTTTGTCACTGAGGGAGGGAGGTTAACGGTGAGATTGTGTCTCGGCCTCTCCTACCTGCTCCGATGTCTTCATTTGCCCAAGTGAGGAAATTACTCCATATGTAATTGTAGATTCCCTATGTCCGCAGGAAGAAAGGAGTTCAGGATCTTCCTATGTCGCCATCTTGAACTGCTTCCCAGGACTTTCTCTACAACGGGAAGTTTGTATCTTTTGATCCACTTCACCCTTTACCCATTTGCCCGCCCCCAACTGCATAACTCTGACAACTACCAGTCTGTTCTGTATATCCATCTATGAGTTTGGGGTTATCATTAATTTTTAAGATTCTACATATAAGAGAGGTCATACACATGTAAGTGAGACAGTTTGGGCCTTTCTCTGACTTACTTAGCATAATGCCCTCAAGTTCCATCCATTTTGTCACAAAAGGCAAGATTTCCTTCTTTTAATGGCTGATTAACATTCCATCATATACCACATTTCTTTATCCATTCATCCATTGATGGACACTTGTGTTGTTTTCATGCCTTAGCTGTTATAATACTATAATGAACATGGGGAGGGGGGCGGGTACATGGTGCAGATATCTCTTCAAGTTAGTGTGTTTCCTTTGGATAAAAACCCAGAAGTGGAATTGCTGTATCATATGGTAGTTCTATTTTTAACATTCTAAGGAACCTCCATACTGTTTTCCACAGTGGCTGCACCAATTTACATTCCCACCAACAGTGCATGAGGGTTCCTTTTTCTCCACCTTCTCACTAACACTTGTTATTCTTGTCTTTTTGATTCTAGCCATTCTAACAGGCGTGAGGTGGTATCTCGTGGTTTTGATTTGCATTTCTCTGATAATTAGTGATGTTGAGCACCGTTTCATGTACCTGTTGGTCATCTGTATGTCACTCTGATGTCTCTGAGACAAGTAAGGAGTAACAGATACTATGAATGTGTGGTGGGAAAGAAATACAGGCTTTAGGATGTAAGGAAGTTAAAAAATGACATTGGGAGGGGCGCCTGGGTGGCTCAGTCAGCTAAGCGGCTGCCTTCGGCTCAGGTCATGATCCCAGGGTCCTGGGATCGAGCCCCGCATCGGGCTCCCTGCTCAGCGGGAAGCCTGCTTCTCCCTCTCCCTCTGCCTGCCACTCTGCCTACTTTTGCTGTCTCTCTATCTCTCTGTCAAATAAATAAATAAAATCTTAAAAAAAAAAATGACATTGGGAAATAAAAGGAAAAATAGTCTGTGAGATTTGGACATTTGTCAATATGAGTATGGGAGTAAGATAATCTTTGCTGAGGTTCATCTGTACTTCATTCTACTGTACTCTGGTTAGAATTAAGATAACAAAGTCAAGCGGTGACGCTGGCCTAGGGCCACACATTTGCAGTACTGGGTTGCTTTTCCAGGGTTCAAAATCTGGTCCTTAATAGTACACATTTAGAAACTCAATTTTACAAGGTGGGTATGACACTCAGAGATCACCAGTCTCTTAGAGAATGAATCACCCCAATTAGATTCTCCAGAGACTAATGCATTATTAACCTGAATTCTGATTTATTAAATAATAATGAAGGCTATTCTTCTCTAAAATGTCACTAGATGAGAACAGAATCAAATAAAAGGAATTTTGAAAAATGTTTACCTAGGCCAGGGTTTCTCAAATAGGAAATTGTTTGGCAATATCTAGAGACATTGTGGGGGTAAGGGGAGTCCTATTGTCATTTAGTGGGCAGAGGGCAGGGATGCTGTTAAGCATCCTACAATGCACAAGGTAGCTTCCCACAGCAAAGAATTATCTGGCCCTAAACGTCAATGGTGCCAAGGTTGAGAAACACTAATCAAGTCTGTGGAAAAGCCATAAGAACACTTCTCAAGTAGCACAGTGCTGATGTCCAATAGATTATACCATTCTTCATGTATGGTGTCTTTTCCAGGCTCTCTAAAAATCATCTCCTTTCCCAAAGACCTTAAGCAGAGTTGAGTCTTTCTCATTCATTAAATCTCTTTATTGACTCCCTAAGATTGACTCCCTACATCCTATTTATTTTAGTTCAGCAGAGTCCTTAAATCTTCTCAGCCACACATTTACAGATAATTTTTGTCTATTTCTTTAAGTAGTTAATATTCATCCATTTTTTATTACTAGTTTCATTATTAGAAACATCAACCTTAATTTATGATTTCGGCTTACTTTGCTTCCATGCATATGCATATATATGTATGAATATATATAAAATATTTCAAAGAAGAAACAGAAATATACTGGGATCTATTGTAATATTATTTATGCTCAGTAAAAGAAATTTTAGTTCTGGTTATTATCATACTGTATTTGTAACACAAGAACCCTTTCATAAAAGACTACATGCTCACAGTTGTTAGGCTGGTCTGTACCCCACAACAATCATTTTATTAAATAAACACCCTTTAACTTTCTTCAAATATTTCCTACCAGTTCTAAATAACTTGCAAACCTGAGTATTCTGTTTTTGTTGTGAAACTCGGTTTGAAGAAAATTCCCTTTTCAGTGATTTATATTTAAAAGTAATAGAAAGCAAAAAGAAATTTTCACTTCAATAGTTTCTCAGAATACAATTTTTATTTTGATTACATAAACATTATTTTTGGACTGAGTCTCAATTGATCCACAGGTCCACAGGTTCAGTCCACAATTTAGGTCAGTCCACAGGTCATTATGGCAAAATGGGCATGGGCCACAGGACAGAGTCTGGCATCCATGTTTATAATGTCAGCTCCCACAGAGGTCATTTCACCTATGAATCCTTTCTGCAGTATCAGCCACATGATTTGCAGGGCTCAGTGCAATAGGAAAATATGGGAACCCCTTGTTAAAAAATTATTAACGATGTAGCACAGGAAATAATTACACTAAGCAGAGAATTAAACCAAGTGCCAGGTCCTTCTGAGATAAGGACCTTGTCCTATGGCTTGCACCCCCATGAAACTAGTCCTGCCTTTCAGATTGTATCATTTACACTCAGTCTAGCTGCTGGTTTAAAAAAAAAAAAAAAAAAAGCTTCTTTGTGATCACATTTAATTTCCTCAAAAGGCAAAGTACATACACAATCAGCTCAATTAAATCAAGTCAAAAAATAAAAAAAAAATCAAGAGATTTGCTGTAAGTTATCAACCAGCAACTATTAATTCAACTAAGTTATATTCAGAGAAGAGAAAAAAGGGAACATTGGTGGAGTGTGTCTCCTTCTGTGTGTCTGGCACTGGAGATTTAAAACTGAGGCTTCATGTGGGTGAGGGGGATGGGTGAACTAGGTGAAGGGGATTAAGAGTACACTTCTCTTAATGAGCACTGAGTAATATATGGACCTGTTGGATCACACTGTACACCTGAAATTAATATAACACTCTGTTAAGTACACTGGAATTAAAATAAAATAAAAAATAAAAATGACCCTTGTTTAACTCCAGCTAAGTAGGTGAACTGGAAAGATTTAGGGGATGGGAGCTCCCAGACACGATAATATAATCTTGTTTTTAAAAATAATTTCAAAGACGACTTGGAAATCCTTTCCACCAGGTAAGTGGGGCCAGACCTCAGGCCTCTGGGAAGAGGGGGGATGACAAGTCCCTGACGAGGAAGCCCACAACAGCAGCAGCAAGAGGAGGAACCCGAGAGGATTGGGCCGAAAAGTGTTCCTTGAGGCACGATGGGATCGTGGGGGCCGAGCCACCGGGGCGGGGCTGCAGGGGCGGGGCTTCAGGGGCGGGGCCGGAGAGAAGGGACTCAGGAGGTGGGACCCGAAAGTGGGCGGGCCTGAAAGTGGGAGGGCCTGGTAGGGGCGGGGCCGAGGCTGGGCGGTCCCAAGCGTTGGCCCCCGGCGGCCATGATGAGGCCCCGCCTTTCGGCCTCGGCTGCTGCTTGTTTCCCGGCCGCCGCCAATCCCCGAGGTAAGACTGGTTTGGGCAGAGCCCTGGGTGTCCTCAGTTCCTCGGCGGCTCCGACTGCACCCGCGACACGGCGGGACCTGGTCGGGGCGGACGCTGAGGCCAGGGGCGAGTCCAGCAGGCTTGATCGCGGGAACTGCGGCCCCGATCCCGAACGCGACCCAGCAGACGCTGGAGGTCAAGGGCTGGGGCGCCGAGGCGAGGAGTTTGGCTGCAGGCGTAGGCCTTGGCCCAAATCCCTTTCCTTCCCTGAGCTCCCAAATAGGTGTAACGCTGGGCTCTCGGGCCTGCGGTGTCCGTACCCGCTACGTTTATTTAGCTCTTTCATTTTGCATAGATTCTCCCCGCCCTTTGACCCGATCGCCACCGCCTGAAGTAGCTGCATATCCAGTTTAGTGAGAAACAGAGCCCAAAGCTGTAGTAGCCCTGGCAGGCGCGCATTTCGGGGCCCTGGGTACGGGGGGAACCCGCACCTGCTGACGCACGTGCGAGCGCTTTGTTAGTCTGTCCGTGTTGTAAATGCTGTCCGAGTTCTGGAGGGGTCTGGAGGTCACTCCCTGATGGCATCGCCGGGGAGCTGGCATTTGAGCGACCCCGTCGGGAGGCATTCAAGGTTGCTGGACTAATAATAACTAACATTTGTATGCATAGTCTGCAGTGTTAACTCATTTAGTCTCGGGAGCAGCCCTCAAATTGATCGTATTATATCCCCATTTTGTAGATGGGGAAATGAGTCATGGGAAGATTACCTAGCTTGTCTGAAGTCATGTCGTAGTAGTCCATGGTGAAGCCAGAATTTGAAACTGGAGGGTCGGGCTCCAGAACCTACTCTGAAATTGTTATACCATGGCATTGAGTAAAGCCAGCCAGTAGAAACATCCAGGCTATACTTGGATTCTGCATAATTGAGTTGAGTGACTTAAGATAATAGGAAGTTTGGCCAGAAAAATAATGTGGGACCATTGAAGACAATTTCAAGAGCCCAGTTACGGTGTTTGGAATTCGTGGGTGCTATATTTTCCCCCCATAGTGGATTAAAAATTTCTGTATTGGCCAGCCATGTGAATTTTTATGAAGGAAAAGAGACTGTGGCCAGTACACAGTTAAAATGTGACCAAAGTATATATGGAGTTTTATTCATCTTTATCTTTTTGTCAGTTCTTAGTAGTTTCAATTTTATGAAGTTTTGATGGCACCAAACTTGAAAAAAATTATAGTTATATGATTTTTCATTTCAATGACTTAGTGATTTTCAACCACAAGGTGAATGGGATTCCCTCTACACCTGTAGCAGCAGGTGGCCAGTACACAGTTAAAATGTGACCAAAGTATATATGGAGTTTTATTCATCTTTCTCCTTTGCTGGTTATGTGGCCAAGCTAACCATGTTTTTAAAATTGACAATATACTTAACACTACCGAATTATACACTTAAAAACAGTTAGGACAGTAAACTTTATGTTATATGTTTTTTATCACAATTTTTTAAAAATCAAATAAAAAATAAATCAAAATGGCTAACAATTGCCTGTAGGCCATGTTAGGCCTGAGTATGTAACGGGTATAGATATCCATTAAACAGTAAGTTTACATGTATTAAAGCCCTAGGCTTCCGTGCAGGATTGATTTTAGTGGGACATACAAGAAGGAAACAAAGTAGGAGCCTAAGTTTTCATTTCTTTTGTATAATTAAAATGGTGGCAGTGGGAATTCAAAGCAGGGGTAACTTTAAGACGTTTCACACATAGATTGGGCAAGACAGGCGTGGATGAAAAGAGAGGCAAGAAAAGGAAAGAAAAAAATGGTTTGAAGGTGGGAGATACACACTTAATTTTAAATTTATTTTTTATTTTTATTTTTCAAGAGACAGAGTTGGGGAGGAGTGAGAGAGAGAATCTTAAGCAGATTCCAGGCCCAGTGTGGAGCCCCACATAGGGATCGGTCTCATGACCCTGAGTTAATGATCTGAGCCAAAATCAAGAGTCTGGTGCTCAACCAACTAAGCCATCCAGGTACCCCAACACTTAATTTTAGATGTGTTGGGTTTTACTAGCTGGTAGCATATCTTGGAAGAAGGGTGTAGTAAGACATTTAAATTCTGGCACTAATGCATGAGAATTATTGGGTCTAGAGATGCAGATTTAGATTCTTCCACCTAGAAAATGTGGTTGAAACATAGGGAATGGGAGTTAGGGAAAGAGTGCATGCGAAGAGCAAAGGAAAGGGAGATGGGAGAAGGGGAAGGAGTAGAAGAACCCAGATAGCAAGTTTTCTCTGAAGAGAGGATTTGAACAGAGACATGATGGTGAGCAGTACCATAATCCGATGATGCTGGGGAGACCTGTGTAGGTTGTAAGAGCCGGTGGAGTGGGACACCCTGAAAGTGAAGAAATGGATCAAAGTCCAAGGAGTCCAGAAAGAATGAGAACAAAACAGAAAGAGATAGAGACCTGAGACTCATCAAAAGAAGAAAGGAATGGGTGAACCTATAAAGAGCACAGCTTTCTGGAGGAGGATGGCATTTAGCCTGAATAAAGAAGGAAAAGAAAACTAAGATTTGACAAGTTGGCCTTCTGGGGGAACAGATGCTTCGTGAATAAAGATGATTTCTCTTTAATAGCTTTTACCTGATTGGCTTGGCAGTGCACTTGAGAAAACCTTTCTTCCCTGAAAAATATTGATGTTCACTTCATTGACTTTCTAGAAAAATTGTGTAATACCCACTGGCGCTGTGAAACTGTTGTTTGTTTTTGTTCAGGGTTTTTCTTGGGGGAGGAATCTATTTTGTGTTTTGCTATTCTACCCCACTCTTTCACTCCATTTTTCCTACAAAATACAATCCAAGAACCTAAATAAGATACCCGGCAGATAAAATGACACTGACAGGCCTATACGTACTGTGTAAGTTTCTATTTATTTCTTACAGTGTCGCAGCGGTCCCTTCATCATTTATAAGCCCATTTTTCTCAGCAGTTCATCCTTTCTCCTGTCAGCCCAGCAGTCCTGAAGTCCTCTTCTCTTCCCTTTTTTCTCCTGTGCAACACATTCCATCTACACCTCTTAGCCAAACAGGTCTGCACTTTCTATCTCTCTCTACTCTTCTAGCCACTCCCATCTCTCTCTACTCTTCTAGCCCCTCTACTCTCTCTCTCTCTACTCTTCTATCTCTCTCTACTCTTCTATTTCTCTCTACTCTTCCACCCTCTCTACTCCATCTCTACTCTTCTCTCTATACTCTTCCAACCCCTCTATCTCTACTCTTGTATCTCTCTCTACTCTTCCAGCCCCTCTCCTCTATCTCTACTCTTCTATCTCTCTCTACTCTTCCAGCCCTTCTACTCTATCTCTACTCTTCTATCTCTCTCTACTCTTCTAGCCCCCACAACTGTTTTGTTTCCTCTCAGCAGTTGATTATATCTCATACTAACAAATTACACTTTAAATTTTTTTTCTATTTAATTAAAAAGAAAAAAACCCCATACAACTTTCTTCATAGGAATCTTAGTCCAGCAGAAGTTCTTGCCTGCCTTGTGGCAAAATAAGTATTAAGGTAGTTCGTTTAAGGGCTAAGGTGATGGGGTGATGCTATTCCCTCAGCTGCTTTTGCCATGCTGCCTTATCCAGAGTAGACAGTCAGTCTGCCTCAAGAGAAGAAAAATGTCTCTGCTCAGAATGTGTTGTGCCCTGCACATGTCTGTATAACCACTGTTGTCAAAAGTATGTCCTGTTTATAAACCACTTGGTCTTTCATTTTTTTCAGGATCATCTATCCTTTGGTGCAGGCAAAAAAGCAAGTAGCAATTGGTCAGGTAAATTTAAGTTTTATTATGTGTTACTTTGAAAGTTGGATGAAAAAGCTAATAACTTACTTTAAAATATGTTGTTTTTCACATAGAAAAATTTTAGTGAAGAACGTAATCACCTAGTATATTATTTCATATATCATAGTGTATCTAGTTTTTAGCTTATGTCAGATTTTTTTATTGAGTGTAACTTTTTTCTTGATTTGTAATCAAGGTAATTTCTAAAATGGGTGGTTAGAGTAAAAAACTTTAAAAGCTTTGATTTTATTTTTTTCAGCTCATTCTATCAATTGAAAACACAGCATTTTAACTTGGTTTTCTCTGACCAAAGGGGAAGTACTTGATTTTGAATTTTAGTTAAAGCACATTAAAAAAGCAGAAGAAATAAACTAGTTGTGCTTTACTAAAAAAAAAAATAAGTCATAAATTATAGAACAAAAAAGATGAAGGACAAGCAGATTTTTAAAATTTTCACATAATTGATAGTCAGAAGTTAAAAAAATAATTATTCATTAATTCAACAAATAATTATTAGTTATTTCTTATGCACTAGATATATGCTCAATGTGCCATGGTTTGGGAAAGCAGACATAGCCCTTACTAAATTTAAGAAAACAGGACATCCTTATAGAATAATTCAGCAAAAAAATTCTATTCCTTGGTCTCATGTGTGTATGCTAAAATTATACGTCTGTGTTACTGTATTATTTAAGCTAGGATCATGAACAAGAATAGCTGAAGTTAATAATAATTAATAACATTTGTGAGCAGTTTAGGAATTGATCTCTTATGGATTAAATGCATAAACCTGTGAATAGAAGGTAATTTCTCTGTAATTGTAAGCCCTAATCCTATAAATTTAGTCAATCTCAGAGCATCTAAAAAAAGAGAGTATATAAAGGCCCTCCAAAGAAGCAGTAGAACATAGCAGCAAAAAGTAGGGTTGCTGATGTCAGGCTTCCTGGTTCAAATCCCAGCTTTCTAATGCAAAACTAAGTATTTAGATTTCTTGAGGAAATTACTGAAAGGTAGGATTGAAACTAATCTTATTTAGAATTTTGCAAAGACAGGGTGCCTGGGTGACTCAGTTGGTTAAGCAACTGCCTTCGACTCAGGTCATGATCCTAGCTAGCTAGGGTCCTAGGATCAAGCCCCACATGGCTTCTTGCTCAGCGGGGAGCCTGCTTCTCCCTCTCCCTCTGCCTGCTACTCCACCTGCTTGTGCTCTCTCTCTCTCTCTCTGTCAAATAAATAAATAAAAATTCTTTTTAAAAAACGAATTTCGCAAAGACATTTCCAAGATTAACTTTTTAAGATTATTGTTATGTATTTTTTTAGAGTAACCCTAACACCACAACCGATCAGCATACTGTTCTGAGAATGTCAGTAGAAATTATGTGGAACATAATCACTGAGAAGACCACTAGAGTGGTAATACGTATTCCTAGCATCTGAGGATTGTTTATTTAGTGTGTATGGCTAACCGATTTATAATAAGGAGGGGAAGGGAATCCTTCCTGAGAGATACGCATCATAAGCAGTCTGGTTCCTCTCTGTTGAACAGGCACTTCTGGTATGGATGGTTTACTGACTTTTTTTGTATTATTAAAAATTAATAACATGTGGTATTTTAACATTTAAACTTAAAATTTTTTATTTATGAACATTTAAAAGATTTGTCTGAGAGAAAAGAATTACCAGGCTTCAAAATCTGCCATCAATAAGCTGCACTTTTAATTCACTTATGTTTTATTTGTTGGTTCGTTTTAAAAGGGAGAATTGTTGACTAGAAGTTGTACATCATTTTCTCAGAAAAAATCTCATAGGATGAGGAATTTGGTCTGGGTGCGCATATAGCAAAGTGGCAATCACGCTGTAAGTGCTCGATAAATGTTACCGCTTATTGTTACCAAATCATTATGGTGACATCATTTTCGTCCCATTTTAAAAAATCAGCTATAATCAGTAAGACCAATTCTTTGATTCGTTTGTTACAGTTGACAGGTAAACTATTAAACAGTTTTTGATCTTCTGAGCTAAAGTAGTTAATTAGTAGCTTGTTTATACTTTCCCTCTTTCTGAAAAGAATTTGGGGCAGTCCACAAAAAGAAAAAAGAAAAAAAAAAGCTTGTTAACCAACTGGATAAATTAGTATTGACCTACCAAAGTACTAAAGTTTCCTGAAATGCATTAACAGCTCTAAGTGTGTACATGAAAGTCAGTCAGTTTCTTAATGTTATTTACCAGAGAAAATTAGCAAGTGAAAAAATATTCTCAGTGGGAAACAGTTGTGTATGTTGGCTAATTTATCTGAAAACAGTTTTGTTTCAAATTTTTCAAGAACTAATGTTCTAGAAATTAATAAGATTAATATTCACTAATAGGAGAAGAATGGCATTGAAGCAGATTTCCAGCAACAAGTGCTTTGGAGGATTGCAGAAAGTTTTTGAACATGACAGGTAACTGCCAAGAAGATAAAATTTTAGGTATCTCTCATTCTGCTTCCATCTATTTGATTCCTTAAATAGACCCATGAAAGATCATTGTTGCACAGATTACCATTTACATGGAAAAAATACCTGTGGTTTTTATAAAAATTACCTCATTTGTGATATTAGTGATTATAATAAGATACTAGTGACAAAGAAAAAATTAAAGGTGTGGTACATTTCAGTGCCCATGAACAAACGTATAATTTAATATCTTTAGAATTCATTTTTTATAAAAGCTGATTTGTTACTTCATACATCTCTTTAGAAACAAAAACAATTTTTCTTTTAGTAATACTAGTGCTATATTGAGGGTATTACATTTATTCTAATTTATTCCCCTCCCCCCCCAAGTTACTTATGTGCCATGCACAGCAAAGACCCAGGTTGGTTAATAGATCAGTATGATAAATTGGCCCCATTCTTTTTTTAAGGGCCAAGTTATATTCCTTAAATGTTGGTGGAATCACTTATTTTAGACATTAAATCACTTATTTTATGTTTCTGTCTTAACCAGTGAGAGGCATTGATTTTTTCTGTCATGGTTAAAATTACAGTGTTGAATTGAACTGCAAAATGAAATTTGCTATCTACTTACCACCAAAGGCAGAAACTGGAAAATGCCCTGCACTGTATTGGCTGTCTGGTAAGTGTTATTCATGTGAGTTTTAGAAAGGAATTTCTTTTTCTTTTTAACTGCCTTATCTTCTCTTTTATCTTGACTTATTGGTGTGCTTACTGAGCCATTTATAAAAGACTTTAGGAGCCTCTTGTAGTCTACTCCTACTTTATCCTGAGAATAATTTCAGACCTACTAAGTTATATTTATTTCACTTCTTTTAAAATTAAACCAAGTAATTTAACAGAGAATGTAAAATTCTGGACTCAATGGCAAGAGCTTAGAAAAGTTACTTACTTAATTTGTACCTACCTAAGAATTTCTGAAGTTTGTAGAGATTTTACCACTCAAATAGAGCAATATTAGGTAAAACCAGAACACCCATGATACACTAATGAGAAACTACAGACAAGGGGCGCCTGGGTGGCTCAGTCGGTTAAGCGTCTGCCTTCGGCTCAGGTCATGATCCCAGTGTCCTGGGATCGAGCCCCGCATCGGGCTTCCTGCTCAGCAGGCAGCTTGCTTCTCCCTCTCCCTCTGCCTGCTGCTCTGTCTACCTGTGCTCTCTCTCTATCTCTCTGTCAAATAAATAAATAAATAATCTTTAAAAAAAAAAAAAAGAAAGAAACTACAGACAAGTAACTTCTTTTTTTTGGTGGGGGGTACCAAATTACTTTATTTGAAGAATGGTACAAATGAAAGAAGTTAAGTAGATGTTTTGGTACAACTTACAGAAAAGGTAAAGGTAACCCCAACATGCATGCACTGCCTTGGCGACCAGGGAAGTCATGTTTTAATCAGACTCCATCAATCTTCTCTGGCAACAGTCTGGAAAATCACAAAAGAACACTAAAGTTTGTTAATCTGTGGCGAATATTAAAGACTATAGAATGGATTATGAGAGAGTAAAGTTTTTCCACCAGTAGTTTGAAGCTGTCTGCTAATTCTTTCACAAAATGTTGTTGGCATTTCATCTTTAGAAGCAACCATAAGGAGAGGCTCGATAAAATCTAAATTATATCAGAGAGTGCTATTTTTGTCACTTTAAAATTGCTTATAGCTTGGATTTTAATAAATCCCCTCTTACATATGTTTTACCGAGGATAAGCCCCAAATACCAGTCGTTTAAAATGAGAATAAACATTTCATTTTGAAAGGTAAAAATTAAGTGCCTACCTGATTGTTACTCAACAACCCATTTCTGTGATTGAAAAAAGCAAACTGATTTTGCTGGAAGAGCACTGGGTATTACCAAAAGCAGCAAGAACAAAATTGCATGCTTGTTTTAGAAACAGAATACTGTGTAGCTGAAGATGACCTTAGAAATCATGCAATCTATAGAACAGGTAACTGTTTCATAGGCCCCGAGAAGTTATGTATTGACCGAGATCATGTAACAGAGTGAACAAGTTTTCTGACTTATAGCCCAGCGCTGTATTTAGTCTTTCCCCTGTTCTTTTTGCATTGTGTTTCCGGTGACGGCTGCTGGAGCCCTGTCTCCGGCTGTAAGTATAATAACGTAGATCAGAAGTACCAGGGTATTGTGTAAGACGTGCTGTAGTAATAAGGCCCTAAATTTCTAACCAAAATTGGAATCTATCAATATATATCATCTGAGCTTTATGAGTATAAAACATAGAATTTGGGTTTGTTTACATCACATGACAGGACAATTTCCTTAGTGAGATGCTGAAGAACAGATAGCCTTTGGAGCCTAAGGCTTGATTTTCTTTTAAAAAATTAAGATTGTCTGACTATACATTTGAGAAATAATGGCAAAAGAATTTCAGGATATTTAATTCCTGGTATGTTGAACGAAAACAATGGCAGAGAGACTGACATCAATTGTTATATTTCTAAAATTACTCAATTAACTAAAATTAAAGCATCCAAACTGAAATTCTAAAAGATGGTCCTGATGGCATGGTCTGCAACTTTCCAAAGTCAACGTGACCATCGGAACAGCCCTTCATTAGCCCTATATCCAGGAGCATTGAAAATATGTGTCCATATAAAAACTTGCACACAAATGTCCATATATTACATTATACATTATTTATAATAACAAAAAAGTGGAAGCAAACCAAAGGTCTGTCAACTAATGAAATAAGGAAAATGTGGTATATCCACACAGTGGAATATTGCTCAACAACAAAGGAATGAAGTCCTCATAGACACAACATACATCTTGGATGAACCTTGAAACCATGCTGAATGAAAGAAGTCATTCACAAGAGACAACATATTGTTAAATTCCATTTATGTGAAGTGTCTAGAATAAACAAACCCATAAAGACAGAAAGTGATTACCTAAGGCTGAGGAGGCGGGGATTAGAAAATAGGAAGTGACTGCTAATGGGTATGGGTTTTCTTTTTGGGGTGACAGAAATATTCTAAAATTAGATAGTGGTAGTGTTCCATAGTTGTAAATATACCAACAGTCGTGGAGTTGTACACTTTACATGGGTGAATTGTATGGCATCTGAATTCTACCTCAATAAAGCTGTTAACCAAAAAAACCCCAAAGCTCTTCATAAAAGTAAGCATAGTTGATCAAGTGGATGTTAATTATTAACCATCTTTATATTGAGAGTAATTCTGCTAGTAGAATTATCTTCATTTCTATGAGTCTGCAGTTCATTTCCTAATACCTTAATCAAGGAAATTGTGTTCTAACTAGAAAAAAACAGATTTTTCTCTGGTCACTAAACATTTACATTTCCCAAGTAAAAGACACTCTGCACTGTGTCCGAGACACAATTCGAGGCTTTTTACATTATCACATTTAATCCTCACAGACACACTATGAGATGATCATAAGCAATATTAATCCCCATTTTTCAAATGAAAGAACTGAGACTCACAATATTCAAGTGACTTGACTGATTTTGGTTAGCCAGTAAGTGGCTGAGTGACATCTTTCTAACCAGATCCTGTCTGAAATCCTCAAAACCCATTCTTGTTACCCTCTTACCTTGCCTCTGAACACATTTGCATTAAGGTCATCAAGACCACTGACCTTTTATCAGTATTTGGGGTAGTTCTCCATCATGATACAGCTCCTGTATCTCTGGAAGATGTATTGGGAAGGAACAGAGTGAACAAACAAGGACTTCTTCCCCTGCTATGACTAGTAAAAGTATGTATGTCCTAACAGTTTAAACATGAACTCCCGGGGCGCCTGGGTGGCTCAGTCATTAAGCATCTGCCTTCGGCTTAGGTCATGGTCCCAGGGTCCTGGGATCGAGCCCCATATCGGGCTCCCTGCTTGGCGGGAAGCCTGCTTCTCCCTCTCCCACTCCCCCTGCTTGTGTTCCCTCTCTCGCTGTGTCTCTCTCTCAAATAAATAAATAAAATCTTAAAAAATAAAAATAAATAAATAAGTAAACATGAACCCTCAAAACACTTTATCCAATGATACTTGTAACTTTGTATCTTGTAATTATTTATTAATTTAATCCTCATTAGCAACCATTTCATAAGTCCCTGTGCTGGCTGCTAGGGGATAAATAGAAACTATAAAAGTGTTCCGTAGTTAATTCATACCGCTTCGTGCATACTAGTCAGCTTTGATGTCACTCATTATCAGATATGGTGGGATATTTGGCATTGGCCACTGGAAAAGGGGTGTTGGGTTAGGTGGTACTTAGCTCATCCATCTATTGCCAGTTTATTCTTGGCCCTTCTATAATAAGAGGATTCAGTCTTCTCTTCTAGTACATGACCGAAAAGCCTATAGCTAGGAAAAGCAGCAGAAATATCTGGAAAACTAGAGCTAAAATTTAAGGAGCTATATGGTAGCCACTTCTCTCTTCTTAAAACACTGAGGAATACAAAGATGATCAGGCTGAATTCTGTTTATAAAAAAAATTAAGTTATAGTATTATGCTGACTTATTGTGAATATTTATGTTTTGATGCAGGAACAGTAACATGTTTAATTAGCATGTTTGACAACACCCCACGGGGTTGATACAACATTGCATTCACCATACACCATATTGCCATTCTACAGTTTGAAAAATTCTGAATTCCCAAGTACATCTGGTCCTAAGGATTTCAGTGTTTGAAACTTTAGTGAGTGACTTTGAAAGGACAACTGTGGGAGCATTTAACCTAAGACAGTTCTTAGATTAATACTACTATAAATTTTATGAGAAAGGGAACTTTATTGTCTTCTTTAGAATCATTTCTAAAAAAAAAAAAATGTGTTTTAATAATACCAAGTGAGCTTGTTTTCCTGTATTATAAAAGGGTTACATCATGGGGCGCCTGGGTGGCTCAGTCGGTTAAGGGTCTGCCTTCGGCTCAGGTCATGATCCCAGGGTCCTGGGAGCGAGCCCCACATCGGACTCCCTGCTCAACGAGGAGTCTGCTTCTCCCTCTCCCTCTGCCCTTCTCCCTGCTCATGCACTGTCTCTCTTTCTGTCAAATAAATAAAATCTTTAAAAAAAAAAAAAAAGGTTACATCTTATAAACCATCCACAGTGTAGCATGAGATAACACTATTTCTGATCTTCAGGTTTGACTTGCACGGAACAAAATTTTATATCAAAGGCTGGTTATCATCAAGCTGCCTCCGAACATGGCCTTGTCGTCATTGCTCCAGATACGAGCCCTCGTAAGTATTCTCAGTCCAGAGATCCTTGTTAAATCTTTCAGACTAAGTTGTAAGTGGTATAATGTAATATTATTTTATTTTTTATTTTTTTTATATTTTGGCTATTATCTCATTAATCTTTCAGATGATATCAATACTCTAAAATACCATGCTATATATTGTCCTCACTGTGAATCTTACTCATGACATCACTCTTATGAGATGGGACCGTTTTGCTAGTCCCATTTTATAGATTAAGACACTTCAAAACAAGAGGCACCTGGGTGGCTCAGTCCTTAAGCGGCTCAGGTCATGTCCCAGAGTCCTGGGATCGAGCCCCGCATCGGGCTCCCTGCTCAGCGGGAAGCCTGTTTCTCCCTCTCCCATTCCCCCCGCTTGTGTTCCCTCTCTCGCTGTGTCTCTCTCTGTCAAATACATAAATAAAATCTTAAAAAAAAAAAAAAAGACACTTCAAAACAGAGACTGAGCAACTTGATTAATATATTCGCACTAATGCCAAAATGCATAAAAATATTTCTATTCCATAGGTAAACTGTCCTGTCACATGAAAATTATGTCTTTTCTCATCTGCTCATCAGTCATGCATTTAACGTGTATTGGTTTTAATATAAATAACTAGAATGCTTACATTAGAGAAATGAAACTATCAAATATTTGAGAACTCAATCCATCAGAGTTAAAACTTACTTTGTGACCTTAGAAAGTGTCAGGAAATGGAATTTATTAAATGCAGCTAAAATTATCTGGAAGATAAATGGCTGGCCTTAGGAAGTAGTACATTTGCTTTCACAGGACATATAATACACCAAAGCAAGACATACCTCACTAGAAATGTAATAAAAAGTTTAATTCTGAGTAGTATTAAAAATATTAAATGCCTAGGAATAAACTTTTAAAATATGAAGATTTATTTTTTACAAGAAATGTAAAATTTGCTAACAATCATAAAGGCTTTAATAAATGGAAAAAGCCATGTTCCTGGATGAGTGTACTGAATATCATGAAGAGGTCATTTTCCTGAAATTACTCTATGTATTAATGTAATTCTCTTGTCTCAGTGGTTGGCTTTTTAACCACCTGCAAGCATATAAAATAAGACCTAATAAATTTTGAAAGATTATAAGAAAATCCTATTGGGGGATGAATAAATAGGGGAGATACAATGGAATGATTCCAAAGTACATACGGAGACATTTTCAATGCAAGATAGTAATCTGAGCACAAGCATTTGTCTCCTCTTCCTTCTAAGAGAAAAAAGTGTTGGTAATAGGGGAGGGTCCTCAGGGAAGGAATCTCAACACATTTTGGAAGAATAGAGAGAGGATCTAAGTCCTTTGACAGGTAACAGTGAAGAAGCGTATATTCAGAATACATAGGAGGGCACTTCATCCACAGAGAAAGCCAATGTGCCTCCCCTTAGCAGTGAATTCTCCAGCCTGGAAGGGCATTCCCTCTCTCACCTCATTGGCTAGAACTAGTCACGTGGCCCCATTCAGGGATAAGAGGACCAGGGAGTGTCCACCGGAAAAGGCAGAGAACTGCAATATTTGGTGAACAGCTCAAATGCAAATGAACTTCCAGATTCATTTAAAAGAGTGTTACTAAACATGGGTCATTGCTATGGAGTAGATGAGGCCACGGGATGTTTCTGTGATAGGTGGCTGCAATATTAAAGGAGAAGATGAGAGCTGGGACTTTGGCACTGGTGCTGGGTTTTATGTGGATGCCACTGAAGATCCTTGGAAAACTAACTACAGAATGTACTCTTACGTAACTGAGGAGGTAATTTCATTTATGTTGTATTTATCAATTGATGATTACTAATAGTTTGGGACACAAAGTCCTTCTAGTCCTGAGAATTTTAAACCAGGGTATGGTATTGTTGAATCTATTTGGCACATATTTATTGATTATCTTAGTGAACATTAAAGTTTACTTATACGGTAGTCTTATTTACTACAATTTAAATTAATATTAAGTACAATTTTAAAGAGGATAATAAATATATTGATACCTGTGTATACTACCCAGATTATACAAAGAAAACAATATATGAAAAAACCCTGGCAGCTGGTTTATTCAGACATATTTTATAATGATTAACCAAGGCTTACTTAGAAAGGATATGTAAGGGTAAATCGTTGCTTCTGTTAATATTATTTATGTGCAGTTTATGTGTTTTTCTAAATTTTATATGATTTTAATTGTTAATGTGTATATCATAAAAACCCAGAAACAATAATATAAAATTTTAATCACCCCCATTATTCCATCCCCCAAATAATAACTATGTTTTGGTATATTCCAGACTTTTTTTTGTACGACCAGTTTTCATACAGTTGTACAATTTTTTATCTTATTCTTTTTTTTAGTTGTATAAAATATTTTCTAATACTCTATTTGTAACATAACCTTAGTAATTGCATAACATTCTGTCAGATGTCATAATTTAGTTTTTCCTAATGTAGGATATTTACATATTTACGTATATTTCTTACCACAGTAAATTTTACTGCATTGGTTGTCTTTATGTATAATTTTTTTTCCCTAAGGACTTTTCCCTAGAATAGATGCCAAGAAGTGAAATTACTAGATCAAAAGTTAAGACATTTTAAAGGCTTTTCTGCATCGTCTTCTTTAATTTGCTTTCTGAGGATTACTTTTCTCCAGTGATACATTAATAATCCTTGTCTACCTGAGATTTTTTTTCATCTTTATTAGTTCATAGTATTGTAAGACTGTGATTTGGAAGTGTTAATTGTGTAATTATTTTATATGACTTTGAAGAAGTCTAAACTTGTTTCTTTCATATCTTTTGTCACACTATTAAATTCTCTAGCTTCCGCAACTCATAAATGCCAATTTTCCAGTGGACCCCCAAAGGATGTCTATTTTTGGCCACTCCATGGGAGGCCATGGAGCTCTGATTTGTGCTTTGAAGAATCCTGGAAAGTACAAAGTAAGATTACCGAAGCTTTCAGTGACAAGTATTTCTCTTGGATAATATCAGTTAGGAACTTTCAAAGAGTGAAACTAGGATATTGTTATTTTATAGTACTGGGACTAAACTTTTCTAGTGTTGGGAGTTTCAAGGGGCTGTAGGGGAAGAGTATTAAATTTGACCACACAGTTATATGCTCCAGAATCAGAAATACAGGAATTCTATCACAGTTGGTCTACTAGAAGTATGATAAAGCAGTTTTTATTGCTTCTATTCAAACTTTAGTTTTCTAGGCATTTTTTTTCTCCTAAAGCTTATTCTTATTACTGTGGTGGTATATATCACTTAATATTTTTACCAGGAATACCTTTGTTAAGTTGACTTTAATTTTCTGAGGTGGAAAATATTCATGATTTGTAAAAGTTTAAGTATTCTCTCTTCTCATTGCCTCTGATGGAAATTGGATTGCAGCTTAACTGAAAAATAACACCGTCAATATTTCTATTCATTTTTTTGAAATAGTATAGCTTCACTTTTTTGTCGTTTAAATAAGCCAAGTTGGAATAACCACCGTATGTAAAATGTCCTGGGCAAAGCAGCATGCCATCATGTTGAAAAAGGAAATGCTGAAGCAGTGATAATCTCAGGAGCTTCTGTCTTTAACATCACAGGGCTGTCAGATACCTCAAGATTTGTTTAATCCATGTCCTTCCCTTAGAAAGGACTTCTTAGCCATTTCAGGTGTGCCCCTGAGAAATGACAATATTTCTTAGAGCAGTTTCTTATTGTGGCACCAGATATTTTTCTTTTAGCAGACTTTATTACAAAGTTGAACTAATTCATGGCTTGACAGTAGGTTTTTAAAATAAGGTCTTATTTTCCATTTTTTGTACATAAGACAATTACTTTATTACGTTTAAGGGAGAAAATCAAATTCAGTTGTTTTTTTGTCCTTTAAAAAAGGTAATAGACATTGATAAATATATACTTTTAGAAGCACTCTGAAACTGAACGATTCCATCTTTGCCACTTATCCAGTTAAAAACAACACTGCATAGAACACAAATTTTAATGCATTGCTCAATGCTTTCTTGGCCCTCTTTAAGAGAAATAATGTGTTTCAGATTTAATAACAGGTTCACAAAGGTGAGTGTAAACTGTTCTATATTACTACTCATTAGTTGTAAGTGGAAAAAATGAGTGGAAACTGAATATAAACTTGCATGTGTTATTTAATGAAATTAATTATTTATTGAAATTATTATTTAATGAAAATGTAATGTATTGCTTTACAGTCTGTTGGCACCTGTGGTTAATTAGCTCTCATAATAGAACATACAAAAGATGTATCATGGAGAGGCCTACAATCTCAGCACTTCATATAACCAATGGAAAATTGTTCACAAGTGTTTTCATGGCAAGTCAGAGTTTATAAGCAAGTTGCAAATAAATTTCTGAGCTTTTAAGCAAGTTGCAAATGTTTGTTCATATTTGATTTAGCAAAATATAACTTGTTTTTAAATTTCCTTTGTTTCTGAAGTCTGTATCGGCATTTGCTCCCATTTGCAACCCAGTGCTCTGTCCTTGGGGCAAAAAAGCCTTTAGTGGATATTTGGGAACAGATCAAAGTAAATGGAAGGTAGGTACTGGGATGGCTGTCTTCATACCCATTCTTAAGTTTTCAGATTTGTGAAAAAGCTACACACCACAGACATTATATTCCTAACTCACTAAAAGATCCAGAGCTAAAATAATTAACAAGAGAATATATGTAGAACAAGATCAACAACAAAAAAGCCCGGTTTTCTAATTGTATTGAATTGTGGTGGATGTTCTGAAACTACATCCTTTATTCTAATGATTAATTTTTGTGTTTATTTCTAAATTAACATTACCAATAAATACCACATTTTATTAGTGACTTTAGGTTTGCCTCTTATTAACCATGTACGCAGTTGTACAACAGGAAGCATGAGTCCTGGCCTTTTAATTATTTCCTGTATCTGTTTCAAAATCCAGCATTTCTCAGATTTGGATTTTAAATTCCAGACTTAAAAGTTTTTAAAAATAGATATTGTGTAATGTACATTTATGTGAACCTTCCCAGTAGCAAGATTGCTTTTTCAAGCATGGGAGCAGATGCTTCAAAACGAAAATTTAAAAATGGCTCTTTCTCCCAAGACCCATTTGACTTTTGTGCAGAAATAAGCTATTTGCAAACATCACCAAGAGTTTGAATATTTGGCAAATGCATTCATCATCATGTTAACAAGTGGAAAATACCTGAGTGGGGGGAAGAAAAAAATTTTTTGACTGTTGTGTGTTCAGGGGGGGTCATTCACACATGGATCTTAATTTTATTTAAGATTGGACATTGAGGGTGCCTGGGTGGCTCAGTTGGTTGAGCGACTGCCTTCGGCTCAGGTCATGATCCTGGAGTCCCTGGATCGAGTCCCGCATCGGGCTCCCTGCTCGGCGGGGAGTCTGCTTCTCCCTCTCCCACTCCCCCTGCTTGTGTTCCCTCTCTCGCTGTGTCTTTCTCTGTCAAATAAATAAATAAAATCTTAAAAAAAAAAAAAAAGATTGGACATTGAAATTCTAACAAATTGGAGGGTTAATCTTTTAGGCACTAGATTAGAATTCTGTTTTGTTTAGGCTCAGATTTTTATTATATTGGAAGAATGCAGAAAGTGATTACTGTTAGGTACTTTGAGAGCTGATGGTGCATGTACTTGGGTGTTTGGAGGCCTTGCCACTGTGCAGAGCCTGAGTGGAGTTTGAGATCTTAGGTCACAAAGGTGATGATAACCTTTCACATCCACACGGGGCTTAGGTTCTGATGGGAGAGTTGGGTAAAAGACCAACTGGTGGGGTGCCTGCGTTGCTCAGTCAGTTAAGCTCCGACTTGTGATTTCAGCTCAGGTCATGATCTCATGGGTGGTCAAGCCCCAAGTCAGGCTCCCCACTCAGCGGGGAGTTCTGCTTGGGATTCTCTCTGTCCCTCTGCGCTCTCTCTCTCTCTCAAATAATAAATAAATCTTAAAAAAAGAAAGAAAAAGACCAACTGGTTGGAAGAAAGGAGGGAAGAGGTAGAGGCACAGGTAATATATAAAGGAATCTAATTCTATAATTTTTCTCTAAGTGGCAGTAGATTTTACCATCTTAATTATGTTGCGTTTAGGCTATTTAATTTAGTGTTGGAATAAGGAGGCCATGCAGAATTACAAAGTCACAGAGCTTAGAACTAGTTGGACTTTATAGATCCCCTTCCAGTCTCTCCTTATAAGAGTAAAGAAAGCAAGTCTTAAAAGCAGGCTACTTTAGAAGGGGAACTCTTTGGGTTTTTGTTTGTCTTGATTGGTACATAGAAGTTGTGATAGTGAATATATATGAATAATCCAGAATACTTAAAGGTGGATGGTAAAATATGAACTTGTAACTAGTGGCAGCTCCTCAGATAACAAATTTGAGGGGTTGTTTATATGATTCAGATTATGCTCATGGGGATAGCAGACATTTGGTGCTGTTCAACAGACCGCAGAAGAGGAGGCTGAATGTATTTAAGTCTGGAATTAGAGCCAAAAAGAAGAGGCAACAAAATAGACTATTTGAAATAGAAAATATCTGGAAATAGAAAAAGATAAGGAAGTTAAAAGAAATAGTCAATTTGTGGAGGGATTTATAAAGAAAAAAAATTACGATTTTAGAGTTGGGAGGTGATTAAGAACCTCAGAGGTTTAGAAGAAAAGTCTGTACTATGAAGAATGCTGAGACACAGAATTCTTGCCACTGGCCCAGCATTGCTTCGAAGTAGAGAAGAGGCTATAAGTGGGACATAGATTTCTGAAGACCTTATAAATAAAAACCAGGCAAGACAACGATAAAGCAGTTTTCCGGTTTAATCATCCTTAGAGCTTAAATAATGTTAAATTTATATTTGGTTCTACTGCATTCTGTTTTGAAGAACATATTTCTGGGCGCTTTCAAATTTATTTTTCAATATTTTTCTTTTTCTAGGCTTATGATGCTACCCATCTTGTGAAGTCCTACCCAGGTTCTCAGCTGGACATACTAATTGATCAAGGGAAAGATGACCAGTTCCTTTCAGATGGACAGTTACTACCTGATAACTTCATAGCTGCCTGTACAGAAAAGAAAGTCCCTGTTGTTTTTAGATTGCAAGAGGCAAGTACTAGGAAACCTCAGCTTGTTCTAAGTAACTATAAGGCAGAATTCCAGGGGCTCCTGGTTGGCTCAGTCAGTTAAGCATCTGACTCTGCGGGGGATCAAGCCCCATGTCTAGCTCATGCTCAGCTCTGGGGTCTGCTTGAGATTCTCCCTCTCCTTTACCCCTCCCCCTGCTCGCTCACTCTCTCTTTCTTTCTAAATAAATAAATAAAATCTTTTTTTTTTTTTTTTAAAGCAAGATTCCATAATACTTTATATTTCAGAATTTGAAAGTACCTCTGGTAAGGTATTTTTTAATTATAACAAGACAAAGTGAAATCCTTCTTATTAAGTTAATGATGCTTATGATCTAATTCCATAGAAAGAGGAAGCCTGTAAACACTAATTCCTGTTTCTTCCTCCCTGTCTCCAACCTTTGGCTGCTATCATTCCACTCTCTGTAAGTCTGACTACTCTTAAGTATCTCATATAAGTGGAATCATATAGTTGTTTTCATAATTTCCTTTTTAGATTGTTCATTGTTATATAAAAATGCAGCTGATTTTTGGGTGTTGCTTTTGTATCTTACTATGGAATCTTTAGGGTTTTCTGCATTTTTTTTTTTAAAGATTTTATTTATTTATTTGAGAGAGACAATGAGAGAGAGAGAGAGCACAAGAGGGGGGGAGCAGGAGAGGGAGAAGCAGACTCCCCACTGAGCAGGGAGCCCGATGCGGGACTCGATCCCCGGACTCCAGGATCATGACCTGAGCCGAAGGCAGTCGCTTAACCAACTGAGCCACCCAGGTGCCCTAGGGTTTTCTGCATTTAAGATTATATCACCAAATTATACATCTTCTATGCCTTTTTCTTGCCTCATTGCTCTAGCTAGGATTTCTAGTACTATGTTGAACAGAAGTGGCAAAAGTGGGCACCTTGTCTTGTTCCTGATCTTAGAGAAGAGCTTTCAGTGTTTCCCCACTAAGTATGATGTTTGCTGTAGGTTTGCATTTATGGCTCGTGTCTGTTTTACAGGCTGAGAAAAGTACTTTGTATCTAAGGTCACACAGCTAGTTTACAGTAGAACCAGAATTGGAAGCAAGGTCATTTGAATGGAAACACATGTCCTCCTCTCATCGGTCTAACCATTCCCAAGCAAGGTGAAGCAGTGCTCCTGAGAAGCAAAGGGATGGAATTAGCTAACACAAGGAGAATTTATGCATAACCTGCGATCTAACTTATGCAACAGATTTTTTTTTTTTTTTTTAAGATTTTATTTATTTATTTGACAGAGAGAGACACAGCGAGAGAGGGAACACAAGCAGGGGGAGTGGGAGAGGGAGAAGCAGGCTTCCCGCCGAGCAGGGAGCCCGATGCGGGGCTCGATCCCAGGACCCTGGGATCATGACCTGAGCTGAAGGCAGTCGCTTAACCGACTGAGCCACCCAGGCGCCCCCTTATGCAACAGATCTTAACGGTCTCCCTGGTTTCTTAATTCCCCTAATATTTTGATCATGTAAATAATATATGTTATATAATAATATATTTACATACATATTTACATGTATATGTAGATAGATAGATAGATCATGTGGGAAAATATGTCAAAAACCAATATATTAGATATACCTTGTTTTCTCTGAGTGTCTGTCTCTAAGTAATAGTATTTTCTTAGATTAAACACTTATCAGAATTGCATGTTTTCAGTCAGTAAGCAACTTTGAGAAACCCAAATACCAATTTGATAATAAAGTAGTGTGTTTAGCTACCTTAACTCTAGCTATAAGGAACGTAATAAACCATGTTTCTTTCCGAATGATTTCTCGGCACCCCCAGCGTTGGCGGCCTCTTCCTCCCCCCTCCGAGGCGGTGCCAGGAAATTCTGCTGTTACTACCAACACCAGAGTTTCAGCCCGCCAGCAAAGACTGAAAAATCTCTGGAGTTTGTTATAAAAATAGCACAGAAGTAAAACACTGATGAAATTCTCGGAGGGAAAAAATAAATCAGCTTATTTCTGAAATGCTTATATCCTAAGCAACTGAAAAACACAGTTGGGTTTATTTAATGAGGAGTCAAGACAAAATATTCAGTTCTTAAAAAAAAGTGGGAAAGTATTGAAATTACCAGCCGCAATCTTTAGCTCAGACACAATTTTTCGTTCACTTTCCTTCCGGCAAGGGCAGGTTACCAGCAAACTACCTGGTCTGAAGATGATGGTTAGACTTGTTATAATTGAATGAGCAACTGAGTAGACATGAGTGGGCATGGCTTCGGAGACGATGCCTTCATGTTTTCAGGCCAACTTCCACTGACTTCAGGTTACCTCAGGTCTGCGAATCATATCTGCCTTATCATTGACATATAAGTACAAGAGAACTGTATTTCTTTATGAAATGGGAGCAGTGAAGCATTAAGTAGGCTGAAAAAATTAGGGGCTATAGGGGCGCCTGGGTGGCTCAGTCGATGGGCATCTGCCTTCAGCTTGGGTCATGATCCCAGGGTCCTGGGATCGAGCCCCACATCGGGCTCCCTGCTCTGAGGGAAGCCTGCTTCTCCCTCTCCCACTCCCCCTGCTTGTATTCCCTCTCTCGCTGTGTCTCTCTCTGTCAAATAAATTTAAAAAATCTTTAAAAAAAAAAAAAAATAGGGGCTATATGTAAGTATGTGAACTAAGGAGGAAGATCGAGAATTATTACAATCATGTACACGATTTACCCAACTTTATTTCTTTACCTCTTTTTGGTGTTAAATGCTCACACTCTATTTTTATACTCCTGTCCGAAAATTATGAGAGGTAAGTGTGGTGCATAGGGATATTTGTTTGTTACCTCATAGAATTTTTCTTTTTTTGTTTTGACTTCAGCGAATCTAAATTGGAAAAGCACTAGACAGCAGAATTTTGATAGTACACAAAGATCAGATCTTACTCTGAAGCCTCATATGTCTTATTTCCAGTTATTGAAGTTACATTGTGAGGAAAAGATTTCAGTGACCTGACAGAAACTTCCAGAAACAATATTGAAGCAAGGCTATCCGACCTCTTCAAGTCCTCAGGCCCTTTTTGAAGACTCAGAGGCTGTTTTGGCCTCTGCACTGCGTGTTAGAGAATAGTAAGAACATGGCACGGAATTCCAGAAGTGCAGGGATCTCGTGTCCCTGTATGCTCATGCTCAGCACGATTACCCAGCACGTAGGCTCTCAGGACGTGCTTACTAAATAAACAAGTGAGCACCTTTCAGCAGTCTTCTTTGTATTCTGAAGAAACTAAATAACCCAGGGATTCATATCAGCTTTTCTAACTGGGTCTGGAAAATGTGTGGGAAAACACTGCCTGTTAGAATAAATGTTCATTGTAGCTGCTGGCGCACTGCCGCTTTTTTGAGAGCTGAGGGAGGAATGAAAGAATGTGTTCATTTATTTTTATACTCTAAGAGAGTTTGTTACTGATGTTTTTTCCATTTCAAGTGGGAGGTAGAAGACAAAACTAAGGCTCCTTCAAGTGTCACTGCATATATGGAATTGCACGAGCTGCTTAACATAGCAAACCAACTCAGAGAAGTTAATGAAAGGACCCCCCCCATTTAATAATCTCAGTAAATAGAACAGGAAAACCAGTCAAGAACGACACATTTAGCTCAATTATATAAGCATCTTTTATCTAAGCGGAATGCCAGTAGTTCCAATGTGTTCTCCTGCCTGTAAGTTGACATTTTTTTTCTTTTTTTATAATTTCTTATTGTTATGTTAATCACCATACGTTACATCATTAGTTTCTGATGTAGTGATCCATGATTCATTGTTTGCGTATAACACCCAGTGCTCCATGCAGAACGTGCCCTCTTTAATACCCATCACCAGGCCCCCCACCCCCCTCCTCTCTAGAACCCTCAGTTTGTTTCTCAGAGTCCATTGTCTCTCATGGTTCGTCTCCCCCTCCGATTTCCCCCCGTTCATTCTTCCCCTCCTGTTATCTTCTTCTTCTTTTTTTTTTTTTTTTTAATCTTTCTTGGGGCGCCTGGGTGGCTCAGTTGGTTGGGCGTCCGACTCTTGATTTCGGCTCGGGTCATGATCTCAGGGTTGAAAGATAAAGCCGTGCAATGGGCACTGTGCTCATGGAGAGTCTGCTTGAGATTCTCTCTCCCTCTGCCCCTCCCCCTGCTTGTATACTTGCGCTCTCTCTCTTTCTCTAAAAAAAAATCTTTCTCGCTGTGTCATGATAGGCCATTTTCTATTTTCTCGTAAAGGTGGATCTTCTGTTAAATATCACTGGGGAAGTTACGGACATTGGCTTTGTATTTTAGATAGAATATACCGTAATCTTGTGGTACACTCCTGAGAGCTCAAAATTGTAACTTTGTTTTACCCTGGGACTTCTCTAATAAAATAATAATAATAGGGGTGCCTGGGTGGCTCAGTCGGTTAAGCGGCTGCCTTCGGCTCAGGTCATGATCCTGGAGTCCCGGGATTGAGTCCCGCATCGGGCTCCCTGCTCGGCTGGGAGTCTGCTTCTCCCTCTGACCCTCCCCCCTCTCATGTGCTCTCTGTCTCTCTCATTCTCTCTGTCTCAAATAAATAAATAAAATCTTTAAAAAAATAAAATAATAAAATAATAATAATAATAAATAATAACAAGAATAGTCATAGCTACACCGTGTGTTCCTGACACTGTGCAAGGCATTAAACCGCTGTGAAGCTGCATAAGGTTGGAGCCCTCGGTCACATTAGGGCACGTGCTGCACAGGGTGCCGGGGCACCCACATCCTTGCATCCGGACCTGTCTTCAGTCAGAGCCATCTATCGGTCTATAAAAACTGGCAGGTGCTGCTTGGTCCTACATTTCCTAGGGTTTGTGGGTTGAAATCATGGGTCTGAAGATCCTGTTTAACCTTGGAATGATTGAGGAATTACAGGAATGGAAAATGCTTTTCTTTATGTTTCTCTCTAAGAAATGCCTTCAGCTCTAAATTGAACTAATTAACTGGGGCTGGTCTAATCATTGAGAAATGTGAAACCAAGTTAAGTCCAGAGCTCAGCCTTAATTTTGACAACATTCTTGTCAGATTCATTTCTGATTCGGCTACAGGAAACAAAAGATCATGCTTTTAAGTTACTTTGATGACTTTGACCTGGAACTCTTTACGTATTAACTTCTGTTCCCAAGATATATAACATTGCATATGTCTGAAAGTAAGAGATTAAGAACATTTACTGATTTCATCAAAACCTTAATGATTTGCTTTGTTCCTTGGAACCCAGGTGATATTTTTATTAGGGCTTTTTTTGCTTCTTAAGTGCTTAGGAAAATTCCCATTTTCTCTCATCAGAGACCATTGAATAAGCTAAAAACTTAAAAATCTTTCTTAGACTTTTACCTCCTTTCAGTTTATTTCACCTTATGTTTTCATTGTGTTTTGGAAGGGAGGCCACCCCCAAATTACCTGGTGTTTAACCCCCTTAGGTTCTTCCCACCTTAATTTTTTCCTTTTTCCTTTGAAAGCGTCATCTTATCTTGTACTCAGAGGATGCCCCGAGGAAGCATCTTCTCTCCATTTATTTAGATGTGGTTTTAATTAACCAGATAGCATGAGATCTGTTTATTACATTTTCTCTCTGTTTCAGAATAGTTTTCAAAATAGTTGACTGGCTTTTTACCCAGTGTGGTTTATTGCTAAGGGATGTCAGGGTTTAATGAATTATTCCTTTTTCCTCAAATAAAAATGTGATATGCTTTTATTGCATAGGAGGTGAAATTCCTAACTAGACTTAGGATAGCTGTGTTTGACTTCCCAAACAATGTTTAACCATTTGGCTGGTTTTTTGCTCTTTCTCTGTATTGTCTTTGTGTGCTTATTTTGTATTTTAACATTTTCCGTCTTACCGATGTTAGTGTGTTTCTTCTGTGAGTTAAAACTTCTTGTCTATGTTTCTGACTTCTTTAAATTCTGATTATTTTATTCCTTGTTGATAATGACCACCTGTTTACACTGTACATTTGATTAATGTGTTATTTCCTCTCTTTGCATATTAATGGCAGCATCTAGAAACTAGGCTGTGCAGAATGTTTCTTCTTCTATTTTTGCTGTTCTTTTAATGTTCAGTGAAAATGTTGAAGTACAAGTATAATAAGCTTGATTTTGATTATAAGCCTTCATCATGTTCTAATAATTTCAGGACTTACAAGAAAATTAAGTGACATGAGAGATATATTTAATGTCCTTAATATTGATGTTTCTGACTGATAAATATCTTACTGTTTCTCTCTTTTGTCTTCTAGGGTTATGATCATAGCTACTACTTCATTGCAACCTTTATTACTGATCACATCAGACATCATGCAAAATACCTGAATGCATGAAAACTTCAGATAAGAGGATTTGTTAAAGATTATATAAAATTTGTTCAAGATTATAAAAAGAAAAATGATTTCAAGACATTGGATTTCATAGTGCTAACAATGCATCATTCTGTAGTTGAATCACTTTCCGAATAAATACGTAAAACCTGCTTACAATTTAAAAGTTACTTTACCAATGTTCATATGGGAACTATTTAATACTTTACAGCTTTTGCAAGGTCATTTGGAAATCATTGTTGTATTAACCTCAGGCCACAGAATATATGAATATAAGCCCATTTAAATCCTAGAATGCTAACTCAGGAACGGGTCTTAGAGGTAATTTAGTCTAAACCCCTCACTTTGTCAGGCTTGAAGTCTGTGAAAGCACGGACTGTCTTCATTATGTTCAGTGTTAGATCTCTAGTGTCTAGCAACTGCTTGGCTTCTAATAGGCATTTAATAACTGATTTGTTGTTAAATAAGGAAGTAGGCTCAGAAAGGTTAAGTAAGTTCCCCATCCTTACACAGTTATTTGTGGGACAGCTAAGATTAGAAGCCAGATTTCCTAAACCCAATCCAGTGATACTTCTTTTCTTACCTATTAAGCCAAACAGATTTGTGGACATTGATTTCTGGAATCTCCCCAGAGACAAGAATTAAATAATCAGATTCAATCTGGAAATAGCTATATAAGGAAAGTTGTTTCATATGTTACTGTAAACAGTATTTTCCTTCAGTTACATGCAGAAATTTAGCTTGGTGAGCTCGCCAAGAAAAGTAATCCGTCTCTTCATAAATACCAAATTGTGTTCCTTAAAGAACTTAATAAACTTCTGAAGCATTATAGATGAAGTCTGCTTATTTAAAAAAGATTTTTCTATTAGAGAAACAGGAAGATTATACATTTAAAAAATTTTTAATTCCAGTGTAGTTAACAGAGTGTTGTATTATTTTCAGGTGTGCAATATAGTGATTCAGCATTTCCATCTGTTACTCAGTGCTCATCAAGATAAGTGTACTCATGATCCCCCTCACCTAGTTCAAAGATAATACATTTTAAACATTCAAGAAGACTGCATATTGTACAGCAATTAAAGAAGCCATCAGGTTCTTAAAGTTATGAAATTAGTACTATTTAAATGTGAATCAGATTGTACTAAAATTTTTAAAATCAGTCCTATTGAAATATCAGTAGTCAAGATTGAGCCCTATAGTGAGCTACACACAACATGGTTCCAGTCTTAACAGTTTTGTGTCCTCTAATAAGGAATATTGTTTAATTCACGAATTTTGTGCATGTTGTTGGTAACTCCTTTGTAAAGAAAAGCAGCTGTGTACTTCTAAGATCACCATATTAGTTGCAGATTTAATTAGAGAAGCAGAACTAGCAGGAAATAATACATATTAAGATTTTTTTTTTTTAATAAGGAATTGGCTTATGTGAATGTGGGGGCTGGCTAAGCAAGTCTAAAGTCCATAGGGCAGGGGCACCTGGGTGGCTCAGTCGGTTAAGTGTGCCTTCGGCTCAGGTCATGATCCCAAGGTCCTGGGATCGAGTCCTGCATCAGGCTCCCTGCTCAGTGGAGAGCCTGCTTCTCCCTCTCTTCTCTGCCTGCCTCTCTGCCTACTTGTGCTCTCTCTCTGTCAAATAAATAAAATCTTAAAAAAATAATAATAAAATCCATAGGGCAGGCCAACAGGAAGGTTCATGAGCAGGATGGGACCCCCACAGGCATGGGCTGAGGCTGTTGCCCACAGGTGGGATTTCCTGTCTGGAGCAAGCTTCAGCCTTGTTTTTAAGGCCTGATTGGGTGAGGCCCACCATATTATCCAGGATAATCTTCCTTATTGAAAGTCAGTTGATTAGGGACTTTAATTATATCCGCAAAATCCCTTAATAGCAATACCTAGATGAGTGTTTGAATAACCGTGCCAAGCCGGCACAACATTATAAGAAAAGTGTTGCTTTGCCCTTTTGCAGGCTAAATGCAAAAACATTTAAATACTCAGTAAATGATTACCAACATATAGCCAGTGATAACACTAATAAAGACAAAGGCTTCGATTACAACACAGAACTGACTGTCAAGGATATATAGGAAGCCAGTAAATTGAAGCTTGCTCTTAGATGCTGCAAAGACTGGCCTGGGAGGGATGAATTCTTAATATATGCTTAAATGTAGGATGTTTTCCCCACCAGAAATCATTCTCAAAGTTATAAGGAACTCCCATCTTGATGATTTCATAGTAAAAAAATAACCCCAAAATGACCTCCTACTACTAGTTCTGTGTGCTTCTAAATGGCACCAGACAGAATCAGGTATAAAAGGAGGCGAAGGAATGGACACATTGCCTGGGTTGCAGATGTTGTAAAACCCTCTTTATGATCCCTTTAAGAATACAATACACGATGAAGGGCACTGTATTCTTTCAGAGTGAAAAGGCAAGCCATGTAGTGGGTGGAATGGCTTGCAATACACTATCCGATGACGAATTTGTATCTAGAATATCTAAAAAGCTCCCACAAATTCATTTTAAGAAAAGATGTAAACCAACAGGAAAACGGACAAAAAAAATTGAATGGGTAGTTCACAAAATAGGATGTAAGTATGCTTAATAAACCCATGAGAAATGCGCTTAACTTCCTAAGACCAGGAACATGCACATAAAAACTACAATAAAATGCCCCTGCATGCTCACCTGAAAGACTGAAGTTCGGACAGCAGAAATGCCGGGTGTTGGTGAGGCTGTACGGTGACCCGTTAGCAGGAGTGTAACCGGAGGGTCTGCGGAGATGGCACCTGACCCTACCCGCCAGTCCCACTGGGCTACCCCTAACCATAGCAGGTGCATACAAAACCTGTCTGGGAATGTCCTTAGCAGCACTACTCATAACAGCCAAGGTCTGGAAACAACCCGAATGTCCATCTACGTAGAATGGGTAAAATTGGCGTATATTCAGACAGTGGAATATTCTACATTAATGAAAATGAGCGTGCTACTAGATGCAGCCACATGGAGGGGCCGCAAACGTAATATTGATAAAGGAATCCAGACAAAAAATTATGTCCTGTGTAAATCATTTTGTACCATCTCATGTAAGGTTCCAAGCCAGGCAAAATTCATCCGTGGGGTTAGAAGTCGGGATCGGGTTGCCATGGCAGGGGAGGGGTGGGGCCCTTGGAGAGGTGATGGGAAGGTGGCACGAGAGGGAGCTAGTGAGGCTCTCTTATTACTTTATCTGGGTGCTTGCTTCCTGAGTGTGTTCACCCTGAAAATGCACCAGCCCATACATTTAAGATTTATATACTTTCTCGTATACGGTTGCACTTCAGTGAGATCTACATTAAAAAAGAATTCAGTAGTCCTTCTGTGAAGATCATAAATCCACTGCATGAAGAAGAAAAACTCCCAATGTTACACAAAGGACCCTCATTTGGGGGGGGTAAAATTTCCACATGACTTCTAGCTTCAAGTAATGTTGTATCTCACTTAGAAACCACTTAGAATTGAAGGTGATGTGTGACGCGTCAAGCAAGTGGATCATGATGTCTGATTTTGGAGATGCAAGTGAAGAGTTCGAATAAAACTGTTTCATGGGGGCACCTGGGTGGCTCAGTCGTTAAGCATCTGCCTTCGGCTCAGGTCGTGGTCCCGGGGTCCTGGGATCGAGCCCCGCATTGGGCTCCCCGCTCCGCGGGAAGCCTGCTTCTCCCTCTCCCACTCCCCCTGCTTGTGTTCCCTCTCTCGCTGTCTCTTTCTCTGTCAAATTAAAAAAAAAAAAAAACTGTTTCATGAAATCTTACGGTGGAAAGATTCTAAGCTGACGTCTTAAAAATATTTTTAATATATATGCGTAGTAAGCTGTGACAAGTAGACATGCATTTTATATTGAAGAGCTCATAGACCTATTCCCAAATTAGCCAAGCAACCTTTTTGTATATTCTCATCGGAACAACGCAGATCTCCATTGAACACGTTGGACAAACACAGGATACAACAGAGATTACATCGGTGTGTGTAACTTCGGAAACCAAAATCACTTTTTATTAAAACAAAAACAAAAAGGTGTGTGTGTGTGTTTTTTTTTTAAGCTTTCATTTTAGTTTAGTTTGGGGTTGCATTTCATTTGGGTTTGGGTGAAGAAAGGACCCACTGCCTGGGGCGCCTGCTGGTGAGGGTGGCAGCGACGGCAGGTGCCAAGGGATTGGCAGAGGTGGGGGAGCAAATGGAGCCACAGAATCAGCCACAGGAGCACCAGTGATGGGAGGGCCAAAGCAGCGGCCGTGTGCAAGACGGAGGACAAAGTATTCGAACCAAGAGCAGCATCTCAAAATTAGTAATTTTCCTATCAGCTTCTAAGTATCTAACACAAACGTACAAAAGGAAAATGATCCCATTCAGAGCAGCAACAAAAACCCAAAGTACCTAGAAATACCCCGAACAAGAGTGGTATGAGGTCTTTAGTAAGGTAAACCTTTAACAAATGGAGAGCAACGTATTCATGGAAGAAAAGACTCAATATTGTAAAGGTATTGATACATTCCAGATTAATCTATAGAGGCAATGCAATCTCAATCCAAATCTCAATACTTTTTTTTTTAAAGATTTTATTTATTTATTTATTTGAGAGAGAGAGAAACAGCATGAGAGGGGAGAGGGTCAGAGGGAGAAGCCGGCTGCCCGCTGAGCCAGGAGCCTGATGTGGGACTCAATCCCAGGACTCTGGGATCATGACCCGAGCTGAAGGCAGTCGCTTAACCAACTGAGCCACCCAGGCGCCCCCAAATCTCAATACTTTTAATGGAACTTGACAAGCTCGTTATGAAACTTCTATGGAAGAACAAGCCAAGACAGTTTTGGAAAAGAACACATTGCTCTACCAGGTGTCGAAACACACTGGAAAGCTGTGATAATCAAAACAGGCTTGGACTCTGTAGAGTTCGGTGGATTAAAGAAATCCTGCAGCAGACCTATCCAGGGATTTAGTCTATGCGATTGGTGGTGTCTCAAGTCTCCGAGGAATGCACACTTCTATATGTGGTGCTGAAAAATTATTTTTCAGCAGCTTCACAGAGAAAGATGTACAAAAGTAGCCCTGGGAAGGGCATGACTTGCAACATTGCTTGTGGTTGAGAAAATATGAAAACACCCTAAAACATTTACG